ATATAAATAAAGTGGATTTGATTGGATTGGATAAAGACAATAGCTTCTTAGTGATATATGTTCATTTGCATCTTTACTAAAATAAAGTACTGTCCTAATACTGCTTAATATTTTTTTGTTTTTTAACATTGTAGTTTTTATACACACACACACACACACTCCTATTTATTTTTTCCCAGAAAACATGCAGAGAAGGTTATAATAATTTCTTCAGAGTACTTTGCACAGCCGTAACGAGCTTCACCAATTAGCCCACAAATTACTGCTTGATTTTCTAAATGAAAAAAAAATAATAATAATAATACACACATAAACATTAGTGATGACAATCAGTCTTTGACTTACAAGATAACATCTCGAACATTATGCATAAGTGCTGTATTTAATCACCACCCTACTAATAGAAAACAGCAACCATTACCAGGAACAAGAAGCCATTATGACATTTAATATATTAGACCGTTTCAACCCACTGCCCTCTTTAAAGCACACATAAGTTAAGCTCTGATGTCAAGCTGCAGTCATTGTTTTGAAAGACCTTTGCTTAAGTGCTGCAAATCATATAAGCTGTAGGGGACATATATTATGTGGATGCTGTATATAGAGATATAGTGCAGTGCATAGGTGGTAAAACAGCATCATGTACCAGTGATAAGAGAAGTGTTTTGCTGAGAAAAGCTTCCTGTCAAATCTGAAGACTCAGAAAGAATTCATATGTTTTTGTGGAAAAGACTCTTTAGAAAGTTTAGCACTATTTCAAATAATGTTGGTAATGTTAATGCAGGGAAATGGACAAAGTAATCTTAATATATCAACTACAGATTTGTATGGCTCTAAGTTAATAGTATGTTTTATCAAACAAATTGTAAACTGAAAAAGACAGATCAAATCTTTAATAAAAATGTGGTTTATGCTACTGCCGAGATCTTGAAAAATGGCGGCAGAGAGAATGTTTGGGTGCTAAAAAAAATAAAAGACAGAGAGAAATGAAAAATATATATGTATCAGAGCTTTCAGGCAAAAGCGTTAAAAATGCAGCATGCACGACTGTAGGGAATAACAGACGTGAAGTTATTTCCCAGATGTAATACACAGCAGATAACCGGTTTCCAAACAGTTGTCCACACACAAATCAGCTGGGAGGGTAAAAAGTTGGGAAGATTATGGCCAGTGTGAGGAAGGATTTGGCATTGAAAATATATATATATATCCTTACTGTGAACATGACCATGAACAGAAACACATATACAGCACAATTGATAAGCTACAATATATTTGTGCATGTATACACATTCACATAGATCACAGATTCTGAAGCTGCTGATATCTTTTTGATATCGTTTTGTGCCAATGTTTAGTATCTCATTTGAACATTTTAATGCCCAAATGTAATATTTTCCTCAGAATGTTATTCCATAACTCCCCTAAGACATTAAAGCTGTCAGTGAAACCCACATTGATAGAACTGTTGAGGAGGGTTAGTAGATCTGAAAGACAAGATAGCCCACCACATCTGTTTAATGGAAAACTCCACACATTCATATTTCTGGATGGTGTTATAACTGCCTATAGATGTGGTCATTTGATGCACATCCAGTTATACATTTTAGTGAACATGGATCCCATTGACATTTAAATACTCCTAACATCCACACATATACATACAACTGACACAATTTCAAAGGTGGCACAGACAAAGTCATTGGAAAGACAGGATCAGATGCCACATTTTGCTTTTATTGATACACTCTACAACCTCTGTCAAGCGATTTTAAGCATTAACTGTCCATTCCCTCCATGACAGGCTGGCTTACAGTTATCAATGACAGTCTCTAGCCAGTCGTGTGGATCACATAACCTACTTAAAATGGTGCTTGCTCATCTAAATGGCCAATTAGTTGTCATTAGTGGCAGTAGGAAAAAGCTCTGATGACTTTAGAGCAGCATCTGGTTCATTCAGGGACTGACCATAATTCCTAACAGTAAATATTAGAAGGTCCAGATAGACCAACGTCACTTCCCCCCCCATTCCAGTTTGCTAAACATGAAGGCTGCAGCTCCCAGGGCAAAAAATCAATATGTTATTAAAGGTAAATGACTCAAGTGTGTAAATGCACGGACAGACACACACAACCTCTTGGTGGTCTGTCTACCACCGTTTATTGTGTGTTCCAACAAGCATGGACCGGCTCACTTCACACAATAAACAGCCATGTTGGTCGAGTGTTTGGCCAGCAGCTATCACTGCAGAGAGCCACGGCTCATTTGTCAAATGGAGGAAGCTTTGCAGGGGTCACTGCTTGTTTAAACATGAGGCCCCTAGCTCCCCCAGCCTTCGCGCTTTCAATTCCTCTCTCTCTCTCTCTCTCTATCTCTCTCTCTCTCTCACTTCTCTTATCACCTTCTTCCAGGCCCCAAAGTAAACTGCTGTTGAGAAAGTCTGTGTATCCTCCACTGTCATGTTAATTAAGTATCGTACGCAAAACAAACCGGTGAAAGTGTGGACTCATGCAGGCAGGGTTCCTGTGAAGGCAAGTCATGCTGTGCTTCCCTGTGTGAAGCAGTCTTTGTTGATATGTTCTTCCATCAGTCAATTTGATATATCAGACATCACTGACAAATCAGATTTTGATATGATATGATATTGATATGCCTTTCCAAACATTTCCGTTTTGAGTGAGTAGGCATTAATGCTATAGCAGAGTATGAACAAAATCTGAAAAACAGAACCCGGACATTACACCACCCATCCTGCACTTCAGATAGACAAAAACAGCACTTGAAAGGGTCCTTAACTATTTATAGGTGTGATGAACAGTCTTATTATGCTGTTTCTCCTGAAAGAACCCCTGTTCAGAAGCACACAATCAAACAAGCGGGCTCACTTGCCTTCAATTTTTCAATCTGTAAAGGATCATTTTAGGTCATTTTTAGCTTGGACTTTATTTTGGCAGGTTTTAATGAATTCTTCATGAATTCTGATTGTGAAATCCACCCCACAGGGTTTTTGGCACATAGAGCAGCCAGAAAAACTGTTAACTTGAATCACATGACTTGGGCTACGTTCACACTGTAAGCCACAGCGATCAGTTTTAATTTATGCTCTGATCAGATTTTTTTTGTTTGGCCCCTATCAGATTTCAGTGTGAACAGATCACAGTCCTGAAGTGACCCACATGACAAATGCCCATCTAAAGTGACATAAAGGTCCCAATCACATGATTGTTCACACTGAGCCACCTGGGTATCCTGGTGGTCATAATGTTTTGCAGCCCCATATCAACAAACTGTGATGCACTGTGTGTTCTGACACCTTTGTATCAGCAAATTGAGCTACAGTCGCGCAGTTGTTGGATCGGACCACGCGGCCAGCCTTAACTCCCCACATGCATCAGTGAGCCTTGGCTGCCCATGACCCTGTCTCTGGTTCACCACTTTTCCTTCCTTGGACCACGTTTGATAGGTACTGACCACTGCAGACTGGGAACACCCCACAAGAGCTGCAGTTTTAGAGATGCTCTGACCCAATCCACAATTTGGCCCTTATCAACAGTCGCTCAAATCCTCACACTGGCTTTCTAACCACCATCAACTTTGAGGTCACAACAAATGTTCACCTCTGCTGCCTGCCATATATCGTCTCACCACTGACAGATGATAATCAGATAATCAGTGCTCATAATGTTATGGCTGATGGACTTGGACTCCAGTTAGAAGAATCCTGTCATGGATTAATTACTTCAGATCTGTCTTAACAAAAGTCAGAAAAGCCCTTCTTGGACTTTAATACCAATGACTTGTGACATCATTTGCACTTGAACTCTATAATGTAAAAGGCTTGATACTCTATAAGCCCACAGCGGAGGGATCATGGTTATACCAGATTCAGAGACAGAGCAGAAATTTGGGCCAGTGTTTAAAGTGACTTGTGTTGATGTACCTTTGAATGAATGCTTTATTCTAGCTGTCTCTATATACTATATATTTTATAATATTATATACTAAGAGAAAGGAGAGCTGAGAGAACTGAGAGGTTCGACTGAAATTAGGATAAGAACTGATATCCTCATTTCCCTAATTCCCACTCTTATTTAATTTTTCGTTGTTAAACTTGCATTAAACAGTCTTTTGTCCACTTGGGGACAGTGGACTATTTACAAATGCAGCAAAGAGATATTAGCATTAATTTGGAGTCATGTTTGTGTCTACCTGATGAATCCAATATTAACTATCTTTTAGCTCTGTTTAGTCTAGCTGCTAGATGTTCTACTGTGTTCACCAGCTAGTTGCTAACTTTGTACAGGTAGTATACAGTGGAGCTTTAGAGCTTTTTCATAGAAAACAGCTGCCCTGCTGCATCTGGAAATGACAGTATGAGAGTGAAGTGAGTGGACCATAAGTTGAGAACCAAACTACAAAGTTGGGTGATATTTGTCTGTGGGCACCATGAGCACCTTTCACATAAAAGTAGTCCTGTGATCCATTGTTGGTATAAAAATATTGACTAAAGCAGCTTTGACAATTTCAACTTTGGCATTTGGCTTGCATTTGAATTGCTCACATCTAATTTCAAGTACAATTGCACCAAGTTTTATTGCTATCCAATTATTGTTTCTGTCAATATCTTAAAATAAAACTGCACAAATGAAGACAACGCAATTGTACAAAGCACTTATAACAAACTTTGATTTACTAACAATTACCCTGTTGGAGTTACACTTTGAAATGGCATTCTTGACATCAGTGTTCTTACTGGTGACTTGCAAAACAAAGACTTGGTCCCACCGGCTGACAGCCGGACCAATACATGGCAGTCAGTCATGTCTCCCTTGTGGGAATAAACAGCATGAAGCTCAGACAGATTTTCCTGGAGAGAAATAATAGTGAAAAATAAAAACAGAGAAAGAGCGCATGACTGATGGTAGCGCTGGTGGTTCTCAGAATCTTTGATTTTATTCCCACAAATCTGTGACTCGGATGGTTATTTTGACATTGATTTGAATCTCCCATGTGTACCTTATTGTGCAACAAAACCAGTCTCATGGCTCTCTCTCTCCCCTTCTGTCTCTGCAGTTAAAGGAAAAAAAAAAGTGGGAGGCCAAAGGTGAGAGGAAGGAATGAGGTGAAAATGTGGATAACGAAAGATACAGATGGGTGGTCGGGGATCAGATGCTTTTTAAAAACAGCTCTGGTTTTGGAAAGCAAACCTCCAACTGTTCTCCCACCCACAGACATCCAACCAGCTGCAGGAGGCTGAGATGGATTACAGCCTTTCTATCAACCTAAGTGTTTTTTTTTCCTTTTAAGTGCCACTGTGATAACCCTTTAAATAAAACCACAAGTAGACTCAGACAGGAAGAAAAGAAGAGCAATAAAGACATGAGCTTAAAAATATACATGTTTTTTAGTGCCCAGATGCCTTTTATCTTTCACAGCTTTCTTCTGGTTGTTGCACAAAATGACAAATTTTCTCTGTAGTAACTCGTAAAAGCTGCTTCCAGTATTTCCTGATAATACATTCGCTACTCAATCATTGTCTAATGACTAAGGTGCGCTGGGCAACTAATGTTAGGAGAAGATTTTACTCTTAAAATGTGTTGCATCCTTTGTGTAGAGGAGATTCTCCACTACTCTCAACACCAACACTTTTTGCATTTCAGGCCAACAGGGAGAATTTACTGGCTCCCTTTTAAGAGGAAGGGATTCTTTTCTCTGTTGCAGGCCAGTTTCGGAGTTTGAATAATAAGGGAACCATTTTATAGAGAAGAACACCAGAACCTATTTTAAGAAACAAGCAAACAGGTACATTTGCACGCTGTTAAGAACATAGAGGAGTAGGAGTGTATGCTGCTGATGAAAATCCAATTTAGGGAAATCAGGTTAGGTAGTGATAAATACCTCAAAATGCAATTACAACTGAACTGATTCTGTGTGTATGACTAAATGAATACATCTGCGACATGTGATGCAGACAGAGGCAGTTGGGATGTAAACGAATATGAGGACATTACAATAGGGATCAAACTGGACAGATACCTGCCACCTCCATCAACCCGCTGATTTATCATCAATTGACACAAAACGTCACACCGATTCTTCTCAGAGTCGTAACTCAGTCAAATTGAAACACACAGACATCTCTCTCTCTCTCTCACACACACACACTGCTAACTCTTTACAGTGGTCTTAGGCTCTCTGAGGATAAATGTCCGTAAGCCAATTTAGAAATCAGACAAAATGTGCTCTTTTATAACTTCAGAGCTTGGTTCCCTAATCATTAGATTCCATCTTGTTTACTGTTTCTTCCATAACAGTAAACAAGATGGTTGCTGTGTGGCCGAAAACACTGAGGTGTTAGTTGATAGTTTTAACATCAAAATTCAGGAGATTTATCTGCATAACTCCTCATTAGTTTTCACCAGATTAGTTGTGCAGTGCAACAGAAAAGTATGCAGCCTAAAGGTGATGCACAGGTGTTATTTTTACTTATTTTTGCCATCAATTTATTTTTTTCCACTGACAATTCAGACCAACTTTATTTTCTTGGGAAAAATGCAATATGGCCCAATTGGGCAAATCTAGAGATATATTCATTGGTGGCCAGAGAGTGGCATGGAGACTTTAAAGGGTGGCAGAAATATATGCTGATTTAATCGCAAACAATCACTATATTATCAGACTTTTATATACGTGATGGTGAACCACCACATGTTGTCGTACCTGATGAAGTGTGTGAGTTACACCAGTACTGTGGATCTATCTGACCCATTGTCCCGCTTGAATCCTCTCCACAGACCTCCACCTCCCTGGCAGACGGGACTCATTGCAGGCTTCCTCGGCCGGGCGGGAGTGGGCTCTATGTTGAAACTGTCAGTGGCTGAGAGGACACAAAGAAGAAGAGGAACAGAGCATTTATAGGTCACGCACCCAGCTTTGTGTGTGTTACTTCTGATATAGTAACTGAAATGAAACATGACAAAGATGGATGTTTGTGGCCGATTGACTTCTTGAATTATTTATGAGCTGTACGCGCATGTATTTTTTGATATTTTTCAATTTCTCATTAGGTTCTGTCTTAAAGTGTACTTATATTTTTCACACTGTCCATCATGAGTTTCATTTTACCTACTAATGTTCTTGAAACAGTAGAAAAAGTCAGTTTCAAATGCCTCATTCCACAGTCTTATTTTTCTTTTCTGTGTATTCTGCTGTTGCTATTTTTCTGCAGCAATTAGTTTTTTTCCCCAGAGACTGATATAGTTTAATTTGGTTTATGTTATGGATGGATGGATGGATGGATGGATGGATGGATGCTTACCTGACAATCCTCTCATCATCCAGGCATTTGACTGTAGAGAAACAAATAAGATATTCAATAAGAAAAACAGTATTCTTATTTTACATTTTCTAATACATAACATAAATCTCTGCGTGACTTTCGCCCTCTCAGTTTACATTCCATCTCTCACTGTTTGTTGTGATCACGGATGTCATGTTAGTTTATGATGGACCTGTGGCCCATGTCCCAATTGAATGCTAATACCCTCATGTCTAAATGTGCAGAGGAAAAAGGAATGATCGCGGCCAACTTTGTAATTTTGTAGAGTCAAAATTCTCTCCTAGGGCTGCATTTGAACTGCAACGTCTTGTGTTACTGATAATTCCAGCTTCCCTTTCCTGTCTTTTAAAAAGCTCTCCCTGGGCGGATCACACAGAGGACCTTTTATTGTGAAGCAACTGCAGACATTGCATCGTATTTTTAAACCGGCTGCTATTTTTCACTGTGCTTTCATGTAATTAACCAACAGTTTTTTAAGCACTTATTCTCAGTAGATCAGATTTAAATAGTCAGGGAGTAATTGTACCTAAAGGAAGAGTCACGATGAGCAGGGAACCAGCGCCTCAATGCATCTATTTAACGAAACAACTTTGGTAATTCCATCATTAGGTTGAAATTTCAGTTTGTCCAGTATTTTTGGGTTCATGACATCCCATCAGCCTCCGCTCTACCTTGTGTGTTTTGTGCTAATTAGCAAATTGTAGCAAATGTTATGCCTGGCCGACATGTGGACATGTTAGCAGACTGATGGTAGGATTTAGCTCACAGCACTGCTGTAGCCTCACAGAGTGTCCTCTAGGCTGGTTCTGGGAGGAGATGGGGGGGCTCTGCTGTGCCGTAATTGTTCCTCAGTTTCAACCCTTAGCAAAACATGAAAAAAACATGCTGTTTGTGGTCAAAGGTGCAAAAACAAACAAAAAAACAAGGAACATTATTTGGCAACAACCTCTGCAATTTAAGTCAATGATAGAAAAGGGATCCCTTAAGGATAAAGGCCGGTGAACACCGCCTTAGATTATTAGGATTATTATTACTATTGAAATCCTGTTGTGTGTTAGGACTACAGACAGCCAACAGGAAAGAGGAGCATGTTCACAGACAACTGAATGTTGTTTTGATTTATTGGAGCAGATTATTAGTGACACATCAGAGCTAAGAAAGATAATCTCAGCTACGTGTATAAAATCCATTGCATGGCTGAATAAATCCATTATTTGTGACACTGTGTTTTCAATTTGCAGTGTTTTCTTTTTTTTTCTTTCAGTGAACCCCCAGCAGAGGTAAAGAAGAGAAACAGAGACAGAGAGGGAGCTAGAATGTTCTCTGATTGAAACTCTTGCAGCCCATTTTTACTGCAGAGTGTTACGAATGACCAAAGCTAAACATGCTGCTGCACAGGAAGGTGTATCTCCCTTTGAAGTGCCACACTCACAAAGTGGAGAATCAGTTTGAAAGACGCCCTGCAGGACAAAGACTGTTAACAACTTAGCGTGCTAAATATAGACACTTCCCTGTTTGAGCATGAGGATGTTTTGAGGTGGAGTGTTTGCGATGTGATGAGATTATTTCACCTTGTGTGTTTGTCATAAATATTATGAATATTATAAGTAGTTGAGTAAATTGTGACCTGGTTTTATTATAGGCGTGCTATGGTTTTGGTTTTTATATACTGTTTCACCCTGACAAGACAGAAGAAATGTAAGGAAAATAGGTTTACAGATTCTTGAAAAGAACAGTCTGACATTTTGTGAAACGTATATTTGCTTTCTTGCAGAGTTAAATGAGAGAATTGATACCACTCTCAAACACGAGTCATATCAATCTTCTCATCTCATGACAAGAAAGTGAATAAGCATGATTAACAACATATGAAAATATTATATATACTACTTCTTTAATAATAGCACAGACTTTGGCTAGGGTACCAGTACTGGCATTTTAACTCCCATACCAACCAGATGTGTACAAATGTGTGCTTCTGGTGTAAATGTAGAGGGGCAAAAATCCTAATAAAGTATATCTGTGATTATATCTGATATCTGTAATAACTATGTCTATGACTATTTAAAAGGCATTTTTAGAGCGCAAAACCAATTAGGTCTTCCTTTCAGATAGGTTGAAGGTGAGCTGTGATGAGCTGTTATGACCTGAACAGAAATGATTATGGCTTCCTTTCGGGAAACAATGTTACACCCTGTCATTTAAAGTTCCAGTCTAAATTGTTTTTCATGGGTGAAAGAAAATCTTAATTAGAAATAGGTCTCCTAAAAAGGTGTTAGAGGCTCTTTTTTAATCCAAAGTCTGCAAAATACCAGTGACATAAAACAATGTCCTCACATTATAAATATGGTTTGGTTTCGTGTAACACTTTCCTTGTTCCCCTGTGTTTCCCTCAACCTGCCTCATCTACTTCTACTCCAGTTAGTGATTCACTGAACTGAGAATTTGCTGCGTTTGAAGATTTTGCAAAATAAGCACAAGAACATACAGAATTTCTGTCACTGTTAAGATTCATAAAAAAACGGGGAACTCTAGTAAAAGCTTTTCTATTAGAGACTTTAAAAGATGACAAGGACGTCTCAGACAAGCTGTTTCAGAGCTAAAGGGTCTCTGAAGGTGACAGCCGAGCCCCCCTCTGCTTTATCAGACGCGATCAGGAGACAGCTGAGGGAGCCGCCTAAGAATCCCAGTGCTAGTGAAAGGTCACAAAGTCAAATCTATATGGTTTTCTGTATGGTTATTTCTAAATCCACTTCCTTCTCTCTCTTCAAAAGGGAATTAGAGAATTATGAAGACGCACACACAGACAGAAAATCATTTCTCAAGATTTCTTAGATGCTCTGACTGCTCAGAGCACAAAGAAAATACATCCTTTGTGTCTACTAATCAATACATCAGATAAAAAACATTATGGAAAATTACAGAGCACTCTAAAGATTGCACTCTTTGAAAGTTCTCATCTTTGGCTTCAAAACTTGGCTTTCAGCCCTCTGGTTCCCACAGGTCTCCTCTTGCATTTCATTTCTCCCGACAATAAGCCTCATGCTGGCAAGTCCAAAAATAACATCTCGTATATATCATCCAACATAAATACATCCTGAGTACATAAGCTTCTGTCAGCAGGAATCAGCGAAACCAAATGTCACATCTGCGCACTTTGATAACAAACCACTTACTATGGCATGAGCTCTGCGGGAGCCTCCAACAACAATTAAAAAAAGATTGCGTGAGGATATTTTACAGGGTATTACATGAGGGTGTAGCGCTTGCTAATATGTAACTTGTTTTTTAAGCACCGAGCAGCAGAAAGAAAGAAGTCATTGATAACACCTATGTAAGCATGTTTTGGTCTAACATTACTGATTTATGTTTTAACTATAAAGTGCAAAACCAGATTACCAAACAGATTAACATACTAAGACAGTGTAAATCTGCTGCCACAGTAATAAATGCTTTCATTTTCATGGTTTATGTAAATGTTAAAATCAGCTAAGAGTGCCAGTGTTCCCGGTTATCTCATTTAAATAATAAAGTGCTGCAATACTGTATATACACATTTACTGACAAGTAAATAGACTGCCGGCTGTAAATAGTAATAGAACAAACATAAAAAGCATGAGAGTTGCCTTTCACCATGCAGTGTGGATGAGTTGACCAGTACATTCCTAACCCTGAGTTTACTCTGAATGAGTGTCTCAGAGGACGGGGGGGATTAATTTCATACTGCTTTTAAGCTTTGCACTCATTCATATTGTTCTTGTTCTTGTTAGAATACGATTCTCATATGCTGTTGACAAAAGAGACTTGGTACCGACTGTTTGTCTTCTAAGTTTTTAATAAACACGAGCAGAAAGTAGGAACTGATGAAAATATCCTGTAACAACAATCTAGCAGCAGGATTCCCTTTAGCAGGAGCTCTGCCCAGCAGGGGGAAGTTTGAGCCTATCCACTCCATCAGCTTTATGAACTGAGGGAACGCAGAATTGGCATCAGCAGTGTGTGAGTGTGTGTGTGGGAGATCTGGTTGAGTTATACAGTCATTCATGCCAGAATTATAGCAGCTTGGTGAATCTCTCATTCTAGTGTGTGATAGATTGCTAAATCAGTAGTATTTTGATAGCAGATAAAATATCAGAGGTGACATCATCACCTTGGAAAGGTGCCGTGGTGAACTTGTTAACAATCAATTGCCCCAACAGATATGGAGAAACATTAGCATTCATGTGGAGATTTTGGCCACCTGATTTGACATTTTGAAAAATATGCTTATTCACTTCTTTTTTTTGCCAAGACTTAGATAAGAAGATTGAAACTTCTCTCATATCTGGATAGCTTAACTTTGCATAAATACTTGAGACAAGGGGAAACAGCTCGCCAGGCTCTGTGCGAAGGTAATAAAATGTACCGACCACCAAGGTTGGTTGCATGGAACACTCACAGTGACAACCAGACTCCTCTCCACCTTTTGGAGAGATCCAGGCTAAGTGGATCCAGCAGGCTTACCCTGTGTTTCCAGTTTTTGTGCTAAGCTATGCTAAATCCTTCATCAAACCCCAAGAAAAATATCTGGCTTTATAGGGGTTCTATAGTTGCAGTCTGTAACTTCACTGCTAGATGCCTACACTCTGGTTCTTCAAGTCATTGTTTATATAAAAAATATTGATTTGGGCAGCTTTAAAGTTTGCATCCAGAATGTACATCTGTATATCATCTGTTTCTACAGAGCTCTTAAACCTTAAGTGTAGCAGAACAGTGGAGACTATCACCAACAAATTGCCAGTAACAGCCCTCTAGCAGCATCTCCTCCCAGGCCTCTGCAGAGAGGATGAAAAGCAGCAATGCAATAGCTGCCTTTACTATCTCAAATACTTAACCTGTGAGGTGTATACTGTAGGAAATGTATTTTCAATTTTTTAATCCGCAAAGTGTTTTTTTTTCATTTTGCTCTATATGCTGTTTTTGAATTGCATGAGCTGAGCTGTGAAAGACAGATGACTGACAGTCTGTGTTCTTCGGCGTTTTCACTTCTTAGAAAATGTAAATTAAACATTTAAAAACTAATCAATTTGACAGTAATTCATTCATTCACAGCTTCTCATTTAAAAAAACGGCAATTTAATATTGGAGTTCTATAGTTAAATCTCTCATCAGTCACATATGGATGGATGGTTTTTATATGTGTTAATTCATCCAGCCGCTCATGCATTTTC